ATTTTGGGTTGTGTAAGGTTGGAAAGTATCCCGGGAACGAGGGGAGCAGAATAAGAAATGTAAGATATTAAACCCACACAAATTACACATTTTTTCCATTTCCTGACATAAATGATTGATCAAAATTCAACAGACTGAACAACTGTGTTAGCTCATTCAGTTTTTCCTTGTTGATTCGACACTATGCACACCATTCATATTAAATCTGGGATTGGAACAGTTGTGCCTGATTAAAATTAGATTAAATTTGTCATAGTGTTCAATCACATATTTCTTATCAGAAAGATTAGAATTTGTTCTGTTTCTTTGTTTTGTGGAAATTTCACTCTTAGAGTACAGTGCGTCTGATGTGCAGTCCCTGAATGCTGCCAATATCTGTGAAGATGAACTGAAGTCACACTACAAGGAGACAGGTAGCTTTCTACAGATGAACCCATGGTGTGAGGATCTCAAAAAACCCATTGCAGAGATGTGTACCAAAGTACAGTTAATAACTGGTGAGGGAAAAACAGAATATACACTGGTATCTTATGAGGAAATGTTGCTGCTGAAAACAAAAGAAGGTAAATTGATCCCAATAGCTGTACTAAGTGGGCTGGCTGGTAGAGGAAAGACCACTCTTTTTGACAAGATTGCATATGATTGGGCAGCTGGCTCTTGCAAGGTCTTACAGAAGTATAAACTGGTCTTCCTGTTGAAAATGTGTAATCTGAAGCAGGAGTCAAATCTTGTTGGTTCAGTTTTTGACCAACTCCTAGCAGAAGACACAAATTTAGACTTGAATGCTCTGGAGTCATACATCAAGATGAATTCTGGCAAAGTCCTCATACTCTTGGATGGCTTTGATGAGTTGAGGACCACTTCCCTCAACAAATCCTCATTTGGTTCCATTCTGAAAATCCTCAATCGTAGGATGTGTAGAGGTTGCACTGTACTTGTGAGCACCCGCCCCTCCCACTTAGTCAGATTGACAACGAAGGCATTGATTCAACAACCATTCACACATGTCAGGGTCATGGGGTTCAGTAAAGAAGACATCACTGAGTATGTGAACAAATTTTACTGTGATGAACCTACTAAGGCAAAGGAACTTCTGACAAGGATTAGATCCTCAAACCTTTTTTCAGTTTTGGCAGAGAGTCCAATGTTGCTTCTGATGATGTGTTCCCTGTGGAGTAAAGATTCCAAACTTCCAGAAACAATGTCCAGCTTCTACCACAACGCAGTTGATGAAATTGGAAAAAGAAAAGATGTGTCAGAACAAGAAATAAACAGTGTAGTGATTGAACTTGGCAAGGTTGGTTTGCAAGGTCTCCTTTTTCCAGATCAAGTGCTGTCTTTTAAAGACAGTGACTTTGAGCCGGGAGAGCTTAACCTTGCTCTAAAAGCAGGTATTTTGACAACACAGAGAGTCTTCAAGGGACGAGTCCCCCACGGCAGTGTGCAGTTCATTCATAAGACATTCCAGGAATTCTGTTCTGCTTTATACCTCCAGAACTTGTTTGAAGTAAACAGACAAGAATTTCAGAAGATTCTGAATGAAATTGTGTCAAAAAGCCCAGTGGATTTTGAATACCTTTTGCGCTTTTGTTGTGGAGGAAATGAGACGTGTACATTTGAGATACTGAATGTGTTTCTGGCGAAGTGTAAGAATCGTTTGTCAGTTAGGGATAGGGTGGGTCAGTTGGCACTTCACTGTTACTTTGAAAGTCAGTGTAAGTGCCTACCATCTAAGAAGTTCATACAAGCAGTCTTACGTGATAACATCAACCTTCATGGTCTTCTTGATGATACATTGCTTTCAGTGACATACTTTCTGAGACGTGTTGCAGAGGATAGTGGCAGTGCTTACCTTGATAAAATAAAAAAGCTGAACATTTCGCACTGTGAGTGGATAAGGTCTGTCACAGATTTGGCCTTTGCTGTGAGTGCAATGAAAAGCCTGAATAAGGCACAAATCATTGGTAGCTTAACCAGTGAAACCATAGCACCTGTCATGAAGTCTCTCCGTAATCTAGCCAAATTGGTTTCATTGAATCTCTTTTACAACTATCTGGATAGTACAGCAGCATCATGGGGAATGCATTTGAAGGAGATCAAGCCCCTGCAGTGGTTGAACTTGAGTCACTGCTCATTGAATGGAGAGGACATGGTACATGTTGCTGAGTCACTCAAGGATCTTCCCAATTTGGCTAGATTGGATGTTCCTAATAATAACCTTGGTGGTACAGCAGCATCATGGGGAATTCATCTGAAGGAGCTCAAACCCCTGCAGGAGCTGATCTTGAGGAACTGTTCATTGAATGGACAGGACATGGTACATGTTGTTGAGTCACTCAAGGGTCTACACAATTTGGCTACATTGGATATTCCTGGTAATAACCTTGGTGGTACAGCAGCATCATGGGGAATCCACGTGAAGGAGCTCAAGCCCCTGCAGAGGCTGGACTTGAGGAACTGCTCATTGAATGGACAGGACATGGTACATGTTGTTGAGTCACTCAAGGATCTACCCAATTTTGCTGAATTGGATGTTTCTGATAATAACCTTGACGGCACAACAGCATCATGGGGAATGCATCTGAAGGAGCTCAAGCCCCTGCAGGAGGTGGACTTGAGTCACTGCTCATTGAATGAACAGGACATGGTACATGTTGTTGGAGCACTCAAGGATCTACCCAATTTGGCTAGATTAGATGTTTCTGGTAATAACCTTGGTGGTACAGCAGCATCATGGGGAATGCACTTGAAGGACCTCAAGCCCCTGCAGAAGATGGACTTGAGGGGCTGCTCATTGAATGGACAGGACATGGTACATGTTGTTGAGTTACTCAAGGATCTACCCAATTTCGCTAGATTGGATGTTTCTGATAATAACCTTGGTGGTTCAGCAGCATCATGGGGAATGCATTTGAAGGAGCTCAAGCCCCTGCAGAGGATGGACTTGAGTCATTGCTCATTGAATGAACAGGACATGGTACACGTTGCTGAGTCACTCAAGGATCTACCCAATTTGGCTAGATTGGATGTTCCTTATAATAACCTTGGTGGTACAGCAGCATCATGGGGAATGAACTTGAAGGACCTCAAGCCCCTGCAGAGGATGGACTTGAGGGGCTGCTCATTGAATGGACAGGACATGGTACATGTTGCTGAGGCACTCAGGGATCTACCCAATTTGGTTTCATTGGATGTTCATAGTAATAACCTTGGTGGTACAGCGGCATCATGGGGAATGTATCTGAAGGAGCTCAAACCCCTGCAGGAGCTGGACTTGAGAAGCTGCTCATTGAATGGACAGGACATGGTACATGTTACTAAGTCACTTAAAGAGCTGCCCAACTTGGTTTCATTGGATGTCTCTGGTAATGCAGACCTGGCTGGTACAGCCACTTCATGGTGCTTGCCTTTGAAACATGCAAAGGCCCTGCGGGACCCGGAGCTCTACAGCTGTGAGCTGACAGAAGAGGATAAGAAACGCCTTCATGATGCACTGGGTAACCTAGATAAATTGCTTCTGTAGCACTAGGGGATATTGCTTGGTAATTGACAGGAAAAAATGAATTTTGGTTGTAACATTTCAATGACAAGTTGATATGAGATATCATACAAGCAAACACTGAAAGGTTTAGTGTGTGTGCATGCCTTAGCCAGACTAATTTATTGTGCATTTGTTGTAAAAGAAACTTCTGGATTCTAAATACATGCATTGAACAAATAACCAGCCCATTGTGTACCTTACATTTTGTTCAAATTTATGAAATTCATATATCCATTAAACTTATGTGGTCACCAGATTCCCCTGAGCGAAGCACTAATAAAATCAGAGCTTTACAACTCAGTGCAACTAGTTACATGTCCCTCATAATGCAAAGTCCCATTGAAAACCTACCCTGTCAAGAAGATACAAGCTTGCAACAAAACTAGAACTTTGGTAGCACATTCATGCATGTTACACCAACAGTAGATTTTCTAGATGTTGCACATGCAGAAGAGAGAATATTTCATCCTTCTTTGTTGCAGCGACTCAAGAGAAGTCGTGGTGCCTTCAACAATATTAACTGTAACCTTCTTCCTCCATTCTTACAGTTAAAGTTTTATGTTCTTTTTCCATTTCTCCTTGGATGAAAAAACACATTGAGAACTGGTCAGACTTTGACCTTGTGAGGTGGATTGACTAGTGATTGTGAGTGATGGTACTTCCTTGTTGCCCTCGTTACCGGTAGCTAGTAGGATGTTGAAGCGCAGGAAGCCAAAGTTGGAAACAAGGCAAGCAAAAACAATCCGCACCATCGGCTAGTGGCATTTGGGTGCCTGTGGATGTTGAAAATCTTCTTTTATTTGTTTGGTGTGATTGGCACTTTCCAAACTAGTAATGATGAGTGAAGGCATTCGAAACCTTGCCAGAAAGTGTTACATGTAATCATCATGATGACCATGTGAGAGGTTGAGCTGGTCTGACTATGGACCCTATTAACCGCTGCTGTGGCAGACTTGGCAATTGTCTTGTGTCCATAAGTCACAAGATGTGCAATGTACAATGCTAGGCAAAATGGGTCAACAGGAAACACTGTGATGCCAGCTTGGGAAGATGCCCTACTCTCCTACCTTCCCAAGATGCCTTGGCATTTCTTGGTAGTTGACAAAGCCTTTGTTGGCATGAGCAGGGTTTGTAGGTTAAATCAGGTCGGACTGTGTAAGATGAAGTTCCAGAGGGAGTATACCAGGCTATTCCAAATCCTTGTCAAAACAAGAGGAGAACAGCAACAGTTAATGGGTTCAACATACAGTAAGTACAAAAAAAAAACATCGAGTAGAACTCATGATACAGAAATCACCGTAGGCCTAAGTAGTTTCTCAAATAGAACTTCATAGGTACTGAGAACCCATGTTGCAAAATTCATCCTCGGTGGGAGACTTTCAGATGCATGGTGACGGCAGACAAACCAGTCCTTTTCCACAGTTGCGCACATGCTCAGGATTAACGCGCATGCCTAGAACTGCACGCACATGCCCACACCAACCAAAAAAGGATCATTGTGTGTGCCGCTTATAAAAGCTATATTTTTAAAGTGCCAGGCTCTTTGGTCTAGGAGTTAAGACTAAAGCTTGCATGGTGTGAACTCGTTTGCCTGTAATTATTATGATTTGGTGGGTTGGAATTTGAAATTGTGCTGCCCAGCTCTTGTGAAGACACATGAATCTTGCACAAAGAAACTTGTAGTACGTGGTTTCAGTTGAATAGAAATTGCATGTTTTGATTCCAGTAACGAAAGTTCTGGCTGTTTAAAGCTGTATTTCCATTGTCAAAGGACAGGTAGGCCGAGTTAAAATCTGCTTCATTTCTATTCTGTCATTAGTGCTGTAAACAAGGTGACTCAGCAACAGTGTCTTTCTTTTACTGTGTCTCTGCTGCTTTCTGGTTCCCTTGGAAGTGAGTTCCAGTCATCTACCACTTTCTGGCTGAAGACACTCAGCCTGTCGGCTGTGAGGGGATCTTTCTTTGACTATGTCTCTGCTGCTTTCTGGTTCCCTTGGAACTGAGTTCCAGTCATCTACCACTTTCTGGCTGAACACACTCAGCCTGTCAGTTGTGAGGGGATCTTTCTTTGACTATGTCTCTGCTGCTTTCTGGTTCCCTTGGAACTGAGTTCCAGTCATCTACCACTTTCTGGCTGAACACACTCAGCCTGTCAGTTGTGAGGGGATCTTTCTTTGACTATGTCTCTGCTGCTTTGTGTTTCCCCTGGGGGAGTGAGTTCCAGTCATATATCACCCATTGACTTCAGAAACACATTCAGTCTATCAGCTCATCAGGTGGAAAATCTCTGTATATATATCTACTTGTCTTTTTTCACTCTCTGTTAGGAATCATGAAATCCAGAATTTAACAGTCCTAGGTCTCTTTCCCTGTAGTCCCCATGGTATTTCCATCCCTCAAGAGAAACGCATGAAGAACCTATGCCATGTCAGTGATTGAAACCTGTCTCAAGAGGTTGAGTAAAATAGTTTCTGCTTATCAGACTAATCAGTGAAGAGTCTGTTCAGATGAATCCTGGCAGTCAAATGTAGATCTTGTAACAGAAAAGGTATCTTTGATGCACAGATGAAGCACCTGTCTTGGAAAGACAGTCCCCTGACTCTGTCCTTTTGAAAGGTTTGGTTTTGTTTCAGGATTAATTTCAGTGCTGTGCAAGCAGCCTAACAGTTTATGAGGAGGCAGTAGGCAGACTATGCATTGGTAACCACAGCATACTACTAGATAATTCTGAGCTTTACAGCCGTCTATAGTGGCAGCTGTTTGACTAGAGACACAAAAACGCTCTAAATGGGGCCTGAGCAATATTTCCCTCTTTGGTTATCAATTTCTGCAAGTTTTTCAATGCACCTGAACATTTCATGCTCATGAGTAAAGCGTGCATGCTTTAGTTTGAATGAAAAAGTGAAGCATTTTATGTTTTGACACAGGTGCTTTTCCCTATTGCAATTAAAAAATAGATGGATCCAACAAAATTGACCTGTAAAATTTGACATTAAAAATGGACATTGATTTTCATTACATAATAGAAATCACCGTCTGGCCTCAATCCAGTTGCTTTTGTAGCCTTCACACTGAAACACACAAAAAGCAGGCAACGGAGTAATGGCATGTATGTATAACACAATCCAAGAAACACCCCTCTTATGTAATAGAAACTTACTGGCCCCCTTTGTTTTGTGCATCAAAACAGTTTCTTTTACAGAAGAGTGTAGAAAGTAATTGTATTGCTATCTGTACTCTCTTAATACAGGTGTTTCACATTAGTGCGCCTCCAAGAGTTTGCAACGCGTTGACCAATCACAGTGCTCTCAATCTGTTGACTCACGTTTGGAAAAGGTTGACAAATTTCGTGCACTGTGATTGGTCAACGCATTGCAAACTCTCAGTGGCACACTATTGTGAATATTATTAGCATTACTGAGCAGATACCTCATCAAGCCAGTAAATTATAGACTGTAATAATTGTAATTAACCCTAACAGTCCCAAATCCTCCAATTTCAATACGATTTTACATACATCCTAGGGGGTTAGGGTTAATGGCAGTAAGGTCATTACTCATTGGAATATTGATCAAGGATATGTTTGTGCAGAACCAGGATTTCTCTTTTTATGATAATCAAAGAAAACACTGCTACATGCATGAAGTTGAAATAGAAACAAGTCAAAGGGCTGTTATCTTTGCTACTGGATTTTGATATTATTTGTAAATAATCTAACAAAGAGTCAAGATTGGTGTTTGTAAATAGTGCACAATCTTGGAACTTGCCAGAACATGAATTTAATTTACGCAGCTCAAATTGGTTTATTTACTCATTGCTGGCAACTGTTGAGCAAGATTGACCACTAAAGTGTCAGTGTCATTGCACTATCAACTCTAATCTAACAGGGTCATGCGGTGGATGTACTATACACATAAATTAAATGTCTGCATTCATGTAAGTCATTGGAAAGCAGATGATGTCATGTACGTGTAACTACATGTAAGTTTACATGAAAGAGCTTATGTGTATAACTTGAATGCGATGTAAAATAATTTTCTTTAAAGTTGCTTGTGAAACGTAATTTTTTTGCAGACTCAAACTTCAAGGGGCGCACTAAGGATGGACCAACTTGGAATTATGACCTGTTGTAACAGCCAAATGTTTAGTTTCAAATACACTTGTACGTGAAATTTGACTTGTCACACTTTTGATAACCTTTCACGATTCATGATTTTTTTGTATTGAATTCAGCAATGATTGGGAGGTTTATTTGGTGAGTTTCTATGTAAGATTTGATTGTATACAAATGCTCATCTATGCCAATTTCTTGGACAGCATTCTGGAATTCTGTGTTGGGATTTTTATAAACTGAAAGACAGCTGCACAGATTTCAGTTGAATTCTAAACTTTGAGGAAACCAAACAAGACAGTTCTGAGTGACAGGGTTTGGCTGTGTGTGTCAGTATTGTTGGTTGCAAATAAAAAGTATAAATATTTAGAGACTGGGTCATTTCAAGGCACAAATATCACTGAAATATTTCTGATGCGTTCCCTGGAGGGACCACACTATCAAAATGAGGGTTGCCTGTTGCACATACTCAGAAATAAGTGAAAATTCTCATCTAAAGGATTCCAAAGTTTGATTTGCATTTATATTGTCTGAAAGGCAAATCCATCCTTAACAATAGATTCTCCAGCCAAATCAACTTACAAAGCTTCCTTTTTCAAATGCATTTCAGTAATTACTTAGATCAAGAGTCACTTAAGATTAAACTAGGTACATCAAGTACTTAAGAAAATGTAAGGTGCAGTTGATAGAGATAGTGACATTGTTTTAATATCTGAGAATAGTGGACCTACATGTACATGTAATTACTCTTCACCAAACAACTTGCCTGTACTAAACTATACATGTTATGGAACCGGGAGGTCTGTGCAATACGCTGATGAAGACAGTGCATTTGTTCATGGAGAGAAAAAGACACCACTTTTATATCATTATACGTTTGCATAAATATTGTCATACAAGTTAGAAGAGAAGATGCATTTTTGTAACCTTTGATCTGAATCATGGAGCCTGCCAGCATTTAAATATGTAACTCACGTTTTGTTCCTATCCTGGATCACTGGCAACTCCTGAATTACCATTAAATCAACCATAACCTGTAAAATCTCACCCGTGGTTAAGTCGCTGGGAAGCAGTACCGTTAATATTGCAAGATGAAAATGCTGTGAAATAATGTCAGAAGAGTTAGAGAGCTTCAATTACAACTTGTGTCTAATGAGTATGCCATGGAACATCTGTTTTGAATGTTATTTGTGTAACCTACCTTCTCAGATTGAAAACGGAGTCACCATTTCACGGTATAGTACTTGTATTTATAATCAAGAGTGTGTATTTTCTTCCATACTTGTACTCAATGTAAATGCACTCATACTTGTGCAAGTGTTCTGGCCTGCAGCGTCCAGGAAGGTTTAAAAACTATTACATAGTCCTGAGTTTTACACCACTATTTTGGTATTTAGCTGAGGAAGCCGGGATTCGGCATCACTTCATTTTCCCCACAGTACTTAATACCGATTTATTTTCTCATATAGTGCTGTAGATTCAATTGGGCACTGAATCCAGAGTTCCTTTGCCAACTGTCTCATCTTTTGTAAAGACCTGAAGAAATTGTTTTGGTTTCCCTATTGAAAAACATTCCTGATTTTTTTACAAGGCTTAGGGTACCCTTCCTGTCTGTACTTTTTGGAAGGTCTCCCTCAGTAAATTCAACTAGTTCTCTCTCATGATTGTATGGGTTTTCCTCAGTTTCCTCTCACAGTGTCATGAACAAGCAAGCTCGGAAGAATTGTTCCAGCAACTGTATGTCCAAGGCCCAATGGGTATTTTCTTTCTAGTTGTGGTTATAAATCATTTATCTACGTTCAAACTTTAGCTGTTGGTTCAAGCATCATACGTGTTTCAATCATTTTATTTAATACTCTCTTTATTGCCAATAAAGTTGCCAATGAACAATGGTAAAGTTGTCAGGAACTTAGGTCACAAGCTCCTACTGAACTGTTTTTTTTTAATATAGTGTACATCTTTGGTGCGTATTCAGGCCCTGTTTGTCAACTTCTATGGAAGGTTTAGAGGGGCAGCTTTGGAACTTTCAAAGTCATTCATACGGAAGTTGGGGTGAAAGAAAAATAATGTGGTAAGAATTGCCCTACAGCTTAGCACAGTTTTAATACACAGAACTGAACACAGAATATCCCTCCCCGATTACACTGAAAATTGTGTTGGCCAAGAGAAATGTGACAAGGTTTTTGAGACATTTATCATACTATATTCTGGGGACATACCAATACAGGGTTTCAGTGATACAGCTAGAAAGGGAATGTCATTGTCATTCAGAACAGCTAATTCTTCACATATCTCACTGCGACATGCATGGTCATCTTTCTGTAACACCACCAAGGTAATTTCCATTTCAGACATTATTGTCCTAACAAACATCTTTGAGTCACTCAGTGATATGTAACATCTGTGAAAAAAAAGCTCAAGTAGAGAACAGTTTCCCAGTAAAATTTATTTGGGTATGTACATAAGTGATAATGGCCACGTAGAAATAACAGGCAATCTATCATATCCATTCTCAAATGCATTAATCAAAGAACTTGAACCCTTCAAGATACTGTAATTAGCCAGTCCCATCCCTGAGTTAAATATGCATTATTTTGTGAATGTAAATGAGGACAGCAGAAAAGAACCCCAGTCACTTTACAATGCATTATGTGTAACACTCTAACATTTTAAATGAAATATGCAAATAACTATACCTTTCATTGCAGTTCAAAAGTTGGTCTTTTTAACAAGTATTTCTCAAACAATAAAAAAAGTTAAAATGCACTAAACAAGTAAAGAAGGGGATTTTTCCAGGGTGGGGCAGACATGTTCCCTTCCCCCCCAAAAAACAAAATTGAAAACAACTACTGGGTCCTGCTACTTGAATATAGATCCTACCATTTGGTACCCCTCAAGAAACTTGGTCCCAACTTTCCCTGCAAATTTACTGGCTACCCCCCTGGGACTTAAGTTAATCCTCTCACTAACCACATCACTGACCCAATGTCAAAAGTCATATTGATGAAATATGAAGAGGGTAGATTGCAGCATTTACATCTTTACTCTTTAAAAAAAAATACTTCGATCATCCTTTCCTCAACAAATTTCCTTTGACGAACTGAAAAATCTGGTGAAAAATCAAACATTATTTCCATGAAACAGTTGACTGCATGGATGGATGGATGCAGTTGTATTTATTTCATACACGTCTGTCAGGTAACACGCACAAACTTTTGGCAAGCCTTAGCAGCAAGTTCTCCAACATAGAACGCTCCATCTGATTGGCTAACTGCCACAAGATGTGGCTGTATGTCCTCTGCCAATTGGATGCTGTCAAGCACAGTACAGTTACCAATCACTCCTGGTTGCCGGGGTGATGCAATAAAGAGAATCCGATTGGCTTTAAGTTGGGTAACAATTAAGTGGGTGTGGTCGGCACTTAACCTGCCAGGAATAATAAAGGAAAGATAAGAATTTTTCAAAGTGAAGAAAACATTTCATCGGTAAAACAAAATTCATTCACTAATGCGATACTCTTCCATTGTGCAACAGGATTGAAGGTGAACAGGTCTTGCAGAGATAGTCATTTCAAATTCACAACATGAAGTTACAAAACTGAATTTCAAAGACTCTGCTACTTGAATGTATCATTAACCTATATAAAACCTTGATGTTTGCAAACATTATGTTGACTGAGAAGATGTTCTGTGTCTGATTTGCTTCTTCTGTCTCAGTCACATTATTGCTTGCCATTAATTAGTAAAACGAAGGCTTGTTATTAGAACAGAAGCAAATGTTTAAGTGTTGAAAAATCTCACATAGCAATCACAAAAGCTCCAAATAAGCACTGCATATGTACATATTACATGAAATACAATCCTCTGGAATAGGACAAATGTACATTTCTAGGTAGAATCCGTCACCAACCAAAAGCGACATTTCTGTAGACTTCGGTGATCCATAGGAGTTGCTGGCAACATCAATGTGGCTTATTGGAAACCATCCTTGATTTCAAATTTTGCTCAAAGTACATTCCCTAATGCTGCATACTTGTGTATTACCACACTACCTGACTGAATAGGGTTCCCCTTCCTGAAAACATGAGGTCCACTCTCCAATGAAGTCTCCTGTGTCCTGCTTGAATGCCTGTAGTCTTCCATTCATCCGGTCAGCTACCCAGACACGCCCTATGCCATCCAACTCAACACTGTGTGGAATATGAAATTGTCCTGCTGCCGTCCCATTGACACCTCTGTGCCAGGCTACCTGGAAGTCTTGTAGAAGGAGACAAGAATGGATTTTTAATTGTGTTTCCAAAAAAGCAGAGTACATGTACCACAGCATTTCTCAGGAGACTCAATGAAAATCTTTGATAAGGTGGGAAAATATGTTTTACGGCTTTTTCATAAATATCTTTGATAGTTTACCTATTCCTATTGGTCAATATAGAGCTGTCACATGAATGGTTTTTAACATGATAAAAGTGCCAACCAGTTTCAAAAATCTTCCTTGATTTAGTGGTTTCATATGACATTTTGACTCCTATTTTGCAAACTTTAACCCTAATAAATTAGAGTCCACATCGTCATCAGTTAAGCATTTGCAACACAAGTCTGTTTTGAAAGAGTCACAATTTCACTTTACACCAGCTTGGCTGCATTCTGAATCACATCTGCATCATTCTCTCTTAAGTTGGCCAGAAATGATTTGAAAGCTGTACCAAGCGAATGACTGGGGATTTTTGCTCACAAGACTAGCAAAGAATTCTACGCCGGCAATGTAAGAACAAAGTTGAGAAATGAAGCTGTGCCCAAAAGTCAGGCTGTGGCTGACAATAATGCATGCCCTTATGGAATCCATTAGTGATAAGGCTGTAGCCAACTTTCCATAAAAGCATGTGTTACTACGAGCCACAACCAATTGATTTGGACACTGCTATCATCAGCAAGAGTAAAGTGGCTGACATAACTCCAAAATGTGCTCTAGTGTGGCCTAACATACCACTGTCCACTACTTAATGGATAATCGTAAGGTCTGAGATACAGAAAGGTTTAAGTGAATTTACTTCAACTCTGGGTCAATAAATGTTAGAACCTCCAAGCTTCTTTGGGGGCAACTTGCTCCAATAGTTCACATACGTGTATAACCGCAGAGTGTGGTGCCAAATTTCATCTGTTTTATGCCAGATTTTGAGCTGCAAATTTGTAACAATCACACTTATTTCCACAGGGCTGCAAAATTGGGCTATCCATCAAATACAGCCTTGTCTAGAGACCAAAACTACACACCCTTACTGCAGGGATACACCATACTCACATGCTGGTGGTACATGCATATTCAAAAAGGATGTTGCAACTTGGGAAAGTGTGTGTACTCAGTTTAAGAACGCAATTTACCCCAAAAAACAGGTTCAGCAGCTAAAAGTTTTCAGGGGGGGCATGCCGTTCCAGGATTTTAAATGGTTCTTATCAGCCACTGTAATCTCCCTCAGGAGACTTTAAGTTAAGTGCCAACCCAAGTAGATAGCGATTACTCATGCTTGACTGAGCAGTATGTGGACATACCAATACATACATCTAAATGCATGTCAACTGTCGTTAAGTTAGTAACCAATGTATGTGACATTTTTGTGAACTTTGAAACAATGTTTTCCACTATTTAATCACTAAACACGTTGCACAAATGCCCGAGTTAGTGTAAATCCTAAATTTTTGGAGTTGCCTGTTATCCTTAGAATTCTGGAGTGGAGAGGTATTCATCTCTGTGGACTGGAGTATACAGTATTACATCAGGTAAGTATTATAAGAAGGGTGAACTGGCTAATTGCAGTGTTGATAGATGGTGTAATCAAAGTGTTACCTTCCCTACAGTGCAGATAAAGGATGAAATCCTGGCTTCAGAGGGGCCTTGAGTTGTAAAAGAGAAATTTGTCTCATGGCACGCAGGAGTGTGTTGCATTGGTGCCACTGCAATAAAGTCGCCTAGCTTATAGCGTGGTAAGTACCCGGTCCCCAGTGAAGTCACACTGAAGTCATCTAGGTTTAGAACTATGTCAATCAGCCTGGGTCAAACAAATGACATATCATATTTAGTCTAGATACTCATCAATTCAATCCTCTGAATGTATCAGCATTTTAATTCACCTCTGTCAAGTTTGATGAGTCTGTTATTCAAACCTCCGTCCCCATCAACGATGAACATCTCTCCATCCCTACTTAGGGCGATGTCCGCTACTTGGTCAAACTGAAGCGGGGCCAATCTACTGCCAGCCTTGCCCGCGGTGCCAAGAACACGTTCCAATGTGCCAGCGGAAGAGAAACTCTTGACTGTGTGTCCAAGGGTGCCTTCCAGAAGAAACATCAACAACATCAGAAAAGAAAAGGGGCTGACATTCAGTCCCAGGAGAATCTTTCTCAAAGGGGACCAACATGTCCAGCCCTCTTACTAATTCGACTTGCATTGAAAATCACTGTAATCAGTAAAGAGTTTGCAGTGGTTTTTGTATATAAATGTTTGTACATTTTTTATGTATTTGAGGCTGGTTTTTCATACACACAGAGCAGACAGGTAGATGATTTTATGTAAGCTGTAATATTACTCATCCAATGAGCGTGAATGAAGCGCAGAATACTGCAGCGCGGTGTCAACATTCCATACACCACGAAGCCAAAGAGTATGTGGGATGTTGACCCGCTCCATTTTTCAAGTTCCTTTCTTCAGTCTCCAGATATGATGTTCTCTGAAGTTGTGAATTGTTGTATTTTGCTGAGAGCAATCAGACAATCTGCACAATCACTTGATCTTCAATGATTTGTCAATGAATTCCACCATCAGCAGAATCACTGTTTCTTTCCAATCAAAAGTTGTGGAAGATGGTTTCAAAACAGGGAAGTAAAATTGGAGATTTCTTATAGGTATGTCCAATGCAATAAGGCAATTATGCCAATCGCACCCAACATATCCATTTATTGGGTGCAAATTCAATACAGTTTTGCATAAATATGTCATGAAAAGAATGTTACCACAGAATCACAACATGGTCAATGGTTCAAAGGTGCCTCAGGCAGCTGTCAATAAACCTACATGTACATACATGTATAAAGTAAAGCCAGAGATTGTGTTAGTGGGGGAAGGAAAACCGGAGAAACCAGACAAAAGCCCCACAGCACGTGAGAGATTTGACATGTTTGTCCATTTGACCCTCATTTGATCAAGATTCCAGAGCTTAATTAAACAAACCACAGATTTAAAAAAATGACAGCGTACATTTTGACGTCATTTAGTTGCACAATTCACTTTAAACAGCTGGCACTGAACTGTTTTCAATGGTGGATTTCAATATCTTTCCATTTAAATAAGAAGAGGAAAGAAAATGTGATTGGCTGATGGTAGAATTATCAACAAATTGTCTAATAAGATGTACTGATCACAGAGAGGTCAGGCGATCATGCATATTGACTGATTAAGCCCAACATATACACTTCTGTTGAAGAATGCAACCGACAACTTACCATTGCCAACGTCTGTTAGCCAAAGACTGGTCTCTCCCGATGTTGCATTTTGAAATATCCTCATCCCATGCACCATATTGATTACATTGGGTTCAAAAGGAAATGATCTCAGATAATCCCCATACATACTGAAGACAAGGACTGGAGGCACCTTTTCTCCACGCTGAGGGGAAAAAGTAGAAATCGGTGTGTAAACATTTCTGCCTTTCCTCAGAAGTCAGACGTGACTGGAATCAAGTATACATCCCAAAGGAACAAATTCCATGTATGAACGCCACTAATGCTTGCCCGCGGTGACCTATTAGCCATTTTTTTTTTATTTGCCGTATTCACTGAGGACACATTAGAATTTTTTAGACCAGTCTCATTGGGTTTCTGCTCCAGGTGTCAAGCTGCGTCTGTACCTGGAATTCTTCTCATCCAAAGTACTGCTGGATGATAATCACATTCTCAAGAAGAAACTCGGCCTGGAATAAGGTCAAGCGCATCCTGGAGTCTTGCATGAATCTTGAGACTCATGCATAAGAACATATGATTAAGAATGAATCATTGAATGAATTATGAACGTGATGAATGAAGCTGAGCTTTGACTGACTTGTGACACGTATATTTCTCCCTTTTGGTCATCTACTGCCGCGCTGTAAACTGGACCAGTGAAAATAGATGGGAATCCTGGCCACCAAGGGTCCAACTTGTACATCGGAATTTTCGCTCTGCTGAAACAAAATGATGAAATAAAAACGATAACCGGTACTACTTCCATGTTGCTTGTGTATACGTCCATCTGTAGGTCACCTGATTTGGTCAGGTGACGTGACTACATAATTCGGTTGAAAACAAAAATATGGGGGCGCTACTCTGGCCGGCGTGGAACTGTACTGTGTAGGCGCGCCCTGTAAACAGTGAATCCACGTGTGATGTTTTACTTGTCTTGGGAAGCGGGAAAAGTTAGCAGTTAGCCACAGTTTCTCGAATCAGGAATCACGAATGCAATGATGTTTCGAAGTTTAAAACTGTTCACAAGTAGCACTGCTGTGTTAAGGCTTGCTGGATTGGGCTGTAAGATCCAGAGAACAATGAGTGTGAAAATTCTGGACGGGGGATTGGGAAGTGAGCTGCAATACACAGGTGTTATCAGCCTTGTAAGTTGTAAGTTAAGACCCCGGGTAGGGAAAGAGTTCCATATACGGACAACACTGCCCATGTGCACAAACCATGAGACTTGTCTGGAAAAGGTTTTGTTTTCTAAGTAAATGCTTTGGAATTTTCTTGGCTAAATTACACTTTGAAGGACATGTTATCACTTTCTGACAGCTGTTAATTTTATAACATTTTAAGGGAAAATTAGTGTTGTCTGTAGGTCTACACAGAACTCTTTCCAGCCAGGGCGACTACTGTACATTATCATAGGCTAGTCTTAGACTGTCTGGGAGTACTAGGGTCAGTCTACTGGAGTCCTAAATTACATGTAATTGACTATTTCGGCAATTCCCCAGCCTTTTCTGTTTGTGAAATTCTCATTTGTGTTTTGTTGTCATATGACACTGGCATTTGTTACACCATTTCACTTCACCTGTCGATCGCGAAAAACTTGTACAGCCTAGGTTTATTGATGATCTTGGAGAGCGCTAATGAACTGCACTCACATTACTTTAAGGAAAGGAGTTCCATATACAGCCAACACTAAAATTCCCTCAAAGTATTATAACAGCCATCAGAAAGTGATAACATGTTGTAAAAAGCGAAAATTAGCTGAGAAAATTCTGAAGCATTTATTTAGAAAACACTTGGCTTTTTCAGACAAGCCTCACTGGTTTAAGCACTGAGGCATATGGAACTCTTTCTGTTCTTGGATCTGATAGGCGAAATCACTGCTGGACAGGCTATCTACATGTAATACTTACGACCTCCCCCCTCACCTGACATGCACATCACCTATTGAAACAGCTGTTTCAGGAAACACATTTAATGCGGGTGTAGGTGTGAAGACACTCAAAGCATGTTACATAGACACAATACGCAGTAGTTCTTAATTGCACTGAGCATAATTGCACAAACCAGCCACTGGGTGTACATGTCTGTACCAGTCAACATAAACTGCACCTGTGCTGACATTTTTTGCGATTAACAATGGTGATGTGATTCGATGAAGTAACAAAAAGCAGTTTCATGACAACAAAAGAGAGAAGAGAATTTCACGAACAGAAAAGGTCGAGGAATTGCTGAAATGGTGAATTTATGATAGACTTGGATGGACAAAGCTGTATGATTGATATATGTGTCAGGCCTCGAACTAAAGCTGTTTCTCAACTAGCCTACCGGGCAAGTTAACTTATTTTTTAATAATCAATCCTGCGAGTAATCTCAAACTTAACCTCCCATTATTTGAATCATTCTTCCACAATCAAAGATTAAACAAATGAGGTGATTGGCTGATGGCATTAGCAGCATTATCAATAAATCATTGAATGAGTCGCAGTCCCGGGGGGGGCTAGGGGAAAACTGTGAGGCCCTCCTCAAAAAAAGGCTGGAAAATATTTGATTCTCAATAGTTAAAAGGTGAAGTCATGCACGAAGAGGTCAGATCCCCAAAATGTTGGCTCCAGAACTGCCCCTGCATGGAATGAGATTTAGCAGTGGTACACAGATAGAGTGACTGCACAGAATCGGATTCCGCCAAGTGCTGCTAGACACAGTAACAAGTGCATTGTACTCTTTATGCTTTTTGAAATAGACGGTCAACCTGTCACCCAGCAGAAAGTCATTTGTCCTGACAGGATTCATCCCCGGTGCCATGTACCTTAACCACTCAGCCATGCAATCACATGGTCGCATTGAAATGATAATTTCAATGTTTTGTTTAATTTCAAATGATAATTTCAATGTTGCATTTAAAAAATATATCTACATGTATAGTGCAACTGGACGACTGCAAAACATACCTTTTGTCTTATATTTATCGAAAAGCATGAATTGTAAGACCCAAAAAACAAAAAATGCAAATGACCTTTTTCCCAGTCATCAGGCATATCATGCCTGCCCAGAACGGAATGCTGTATTAAAATATTTTAAGGTGTAAATGTGGGACATGGTGAAACATCGTTCCATGCTTGATTTGTCATTGCTTGATGAAGAACTCTTGTTCAAGGGTGGAGCTCACATTTATGGGGTTTTCAAAACTTTGGTTTTCAGGAGGATGAACTGTGGAGTGCCCGGCCGTTAATAACTGGTCCACACTTGATCAAGAATGTGCATAAGAGGTAACCTAAAGCTTCCTCTTAAAGCTGAGGACACCAACGCTATATCTGTAAGAATTCAACTCCCTTACAGTATATAACTACTTTAAATTCCAATATACCATACAGTGGACCAGTGTAAATATACACATAAATCCAGTTACAAGTATTTATTTTGAGCCCTTAACTTTTAATACATTTTGGGCAATTTTCTTGTCTGCCTGCCAGCTCATACGTATCTGTCCATTCTTCAGTTTTGTGATGCATATTTGTGGGAGGTGAGATTTCAAAGACTGTTTTTGCTGTGGTATATGCCCTCAGTGATATCCAGTGTTTCTCAGGCAGTCAGGGTGAAGACACCCATTGCTATACAGTTCAAACAGACTTTGATGGCTCTGTTTTAAACTGACATACATGTATCCCGGTAGTTTGAAACTTGTAGCAAACATCTTCGGGACCGTTGGACATTCAGCAGCACTCGGTTAGGTTTGACATGTATATGCGGTACAGTCTGTATTATTTGGGTAGAATTGACAGAGAGTGTGGAGAGGATGTTTACTATGTAACTACATGTACTTTATTCAAGATGGCTGCTTCCATGTACAATTGTAGTCAAGCGAGGGCGCTATAACAGATATATGGTCAAGGCATATTCCTACACAGTCGTATTCTGAAATTCTTGGATATAGCACAGTAAATACTTGACTGACTGCTAAGGGTAAAGTTTGTACTGGCAGAATGGTGTGCACTTTCTGTTGTCATATTTTTATTTCTTATCCACTTGTTCTTTTGCTGTCAGAAACCAAATCATGCCAGCTCCAGGAAGAGACTGTGAAAATATGGGCTCAGAATAATTTTGTAAACCCTGCTTGATCTGTGTACATGCGCCAGTGCAAAGCACCATTCCAAATCCCAACTCCCACTTAGTACATCATGAAATTTGGCTGATTTGCTCAACGGTCACTTTTAAAATTGAAAACTCGAAGCCAAAATGGGACATGAAACGTCGCATCTTAAAGTTCCTTTTGAATTATCAGGAAGGAAAAACTAACCGCCCTTTCTTTTCTGACATGTCTTCTGCTGTATCTGCAAAATGGCACATAGTAGATCAGTTGATCAGTACTGAAGTCTCATCTTAAACAATTTCAGACCGATATAAATACAGAACTGAATACTCAATATGATCTGCCTTCCCAAAACCAGGCTGAAGATCTGTATTGTAAAGCGACATTTGTTACCTGGAAACTGAAAGCGCTGCATACTTGATCAAACTCCTACAAGACTGTACACTGTAGACTTCACCAGTTTTTATTCTTTTTTCATACATGTAGCTTTCTATTGCCAACTGGTTCGCATGTACTTTGGATCACCTTGACCTTTGAGCAAATTGTGCCATTAAAATTCTGATGTAACTGAACGGAGGCACCAGGTTCAAATTAAGTCTTGTAAACAGAATTATGTGACAGCAAATGCATGTGTATCTCATTGCCTTGTTCTTTTCTTTTTCCTGGTTTTGAAAGTTTCCTGGAAAGTGGGGCAGATATCATCACAACTGCTACTTATCAGGTAAGTTAACTTAATGAAATTATATGAGAACTTGTAATCACAGGTTTAACTGCAGCCAATTTTACGAAACTACGCAATGGCTTAACTCCCCTTACGCCACAAATTAAGACCAATTTCTGCGACTTATGCAACAAATTAGGGTGTAACTTAGGTAGTCATTTTTCATTTAAGGTGGGCTAAGTTTTGCCAAACAAAGTGAAAATTAACAATTTGACTAGTTTATCATGTTCGGTTAAGCCTCATCATTGTTCAACTTAGCAAGGCTTATACAAGAAACACATAATTTTGTTGTAGAAGGTAATGAAAAACTTGTTTGGCTGTGATGAAAGTGGGAGATTTTTTGTCCAGGGCCAGTGAAGCAAAGACGAAAACTTTTCAAAATGGTGGGCAGAGGTGAGTCAAGGACTGTTTGATGACTGTTGTTATATTGGAAAGAAACAAAATTGTAAGAGCTGTTTTGTACAAGAAATTTAATGTCATTAAAACATGGCGCAGCTACGAAACTTTTCATGAAATCGAATGTCAGTATTACTGCCCAGCTGCAGCATAAATTTGTAGCATAAGGCTTATGCACTGTGCAGAGTTAAATGTACACCATGTTTCATGAAATAGGCTGCTGGAGCTTATGACATTCTTCGTGTTTGCTTCACTTGTGTAGTACTTGCAGTGTCTGAGCTTCAGTGAAGAGAAAACATTCAATTGAACAATGAATTACCTCAACACCAAAGATTCATGGATAGAGAACGACAAGGAAGGATTCATCCTCTGGTGTATTGATTCAGCCTTCTCAGCCAAGCCTGCCACACACAGTAGCCAAGAGGTTAAGATGGCTGCTGATTGCCCAAGACAGCAGTTTATGGTTTGAGCCCCACCTGTGGAAAACATGCAGATTTCTTCTAAAAAGCACTAAATGCAGACTGTCCATTTATCATCTTTTGGACCATTTTTATCTACTCTATTACAGGCGAGTATTCAGGGTTTTACTGAGTCTGTGGGTATGTCGAGAGAGGACGCCCTTGAGTTGTTTGCCCTGGCAACAAGGGTTGCCATGGAGGCTGTTGAAGAGTTCTGGGCTGAGAACAAGGACAAAGACCCAGGTGAATGAGAAGAAAGATCTGTAGAGGCCGGGGGAGGGGTCTTTCTGGATTCTGTGCCCCGACTTGAAGCACCCCCTTGCTGGCAAAGTGGAGACAGATTGGGAGGAATCATTTCATCATCACACATCAAACGGAAATTGGTTCTGCTTACTCAGTGTGTCCTGCACCCAACTGGCATAAGTCATAAAGGGGGCCTGTAATAAGCTAGCAGTGTTCCCTGATGGTTTGACAATTTTGCTATGCTTTGAATGTCTATAACTTATGCTTCATGTGTGTCATTGTGAAGACTATTACCCATTTGAGAGCAGAGAGAGATTTTGTTTTTTAACTAAAAATCATTTTCAATTTAATTGTCAAAACCAACAGGTAAATTTTGTTCAAGTTTCAACCACTGAAGGAAATAACTTCGTAAAAGCATAAAATTTTCTTGTTTTACTCCAACTACAGCTTCCATTCCTATTCATGAGATAAAATGTTTCTAGGTGTTGAAACACTTGGGGAAACTTCAAACCATAAGGGAAACACTGCTAACATAATCATAAACCTGTAAATGCATAATTAGGTCCCACCAAAGGACCATCACTGCACAGAAACCTTTACACGTGACTTTACTAAATTTTTGCACATGAGCATGTGTGAGTCCAACAAACATGATATTGTGGTGGGCATCCCTGGGCCTACCCTAAGTTGATGGGATCAAATCTAGCACTGTTAGTGGCAGAGTCAATCTCCCCAACCTAAGGTTCTCCCTGAGACAAGAGACCACACAGAGCAACCTCAAGGCTAAGGGTGTGGGTCCGTTTTGGAGGAAATATACCGCCGATTGTGACTGAGTGTTGATTACTCTCTGTCATTAAAAGGTACACAATGAACCTGTCAAGAAAGCAATCCTTTTCAAGAGAATTGTCGGTACAGGAAAGACAATTTATTCAACAACAATCAACAAATGCAGTGTACAGTAATGTGATTGGAAGGGTTGTTTTATTACCTAAGTCCTCTTCTTCAATTGGACTAAGCACTGAACTAACCCAGGGTTGCAGCAGCAACACTCAAATGTATCAACACTCAATACTCTGGGCATCAGCGAAGTCACACTGCATCAATAATGCACCACTGCGTAAGCAACGCACCACCGAGTCAATGATGCACACCGCGTCAGCAATGTACATGTACAACTTTGTACGAGCTACACCTCACATGCGAGCCGGCATTAGCAACGTACAGCCCATACAGCTTTGTACTTGCAACACATTAGCTATACAAGCCAGTTAGCCACGCACAGTCTATACAGTTCCATACTCGCTACGCATAAGCACCACACAACACTTTGCATAGCGCTGACAATTTCCTCGCTCCACGCCCAATTTACCAACTTCATTCCTAGAAGTCCAGCATGCAACTGCTCCATGCGCTTGCTCTGGCCCTTTGACCATGTGTACACAGCACGCTGTTCATGTACTCTGCCCAGCCAGTACACTCCACAGTTACTTCAGTTCATTAATAAAATTAGACTGGTTCTATATCTATACACTTTCTGTCACAATATCTTTGCTATAATAGGATTTCAGATTTTTTGTTCTCCTTTCATTTTTCCAACCGTTTCCTCCATTTTCAACATGTTGAGATGTAGTTATTATATATCTAGGAGTTTGCAGTTTTTCTTATTTTCCCTTTGAGATAAAATATTGTGCCAGCTTAAAATATATTTCAACTTCATGCTGAATTTGTCAAAATCCACGATCCTTTTCTTTTCCCAAACCTGGCCAATTTGCCCTGCCTTCAAGAATACCATTGTGACATGGGTTTCTTTATGGACTTAGAAAAAATCAAAGCTTTGCCAGTTCTCAACTATGAGGTCGATTTGACTACATTCCAGGGAGACAGAAACCAGTTGTGGCCGGTTCCCTGGGCCCATACGGTGCCAGCCAACATGACTCTTCAGAATACAGCGGGGTATACGCAGACACGAAAACAAAAGAGGTACATGTTTTAGTTTGAATATTGCAGTACACTGTGACTCCACCAAACAGCAGAAAGCAGTGCTGGACTTGAAGCCAAGAAATCAAAGACTCACACTCAAAACAGTGAAAGTGGATTCGGGTCTGGAACTTGGACTTGGAAAATGTTGACTCAACTACAATATGGCACAAACTGTAGGCTTCATGGAGACATTTTTGTTCTTGGAGCATCCTTGGAAGCATTTTATGCCCTATTTACAAGAGCAAAATTGACAGCAGATGGCATCCAAGAAAGATTTGCTCCTCAAGACCAATTTAGGAATTTGCACAAGAGGCACGTCAAAAGGAATGTTAAAATGCCCCCCTCACCTTAGACATTTTTGCAAGACCCTTCCCGAATTCTCCAGATTCCATTCATCCACAGGATACTGGTGACACATATTTCCTAGGGGCACCAAGCCATAAGTAATTTTTGGTCTACCTTCCTCAATTTTTAACCTCTTCGCGACGGAGGACTGCTACTACTGCACCATTGTGTGAAGATTAGTGCACACCACACATACAGGCTATTCACCATGCAGCTGCTGGTTCAATGGTCCCTGCTACTGGACAAAGCCCTCTATTCAGGGCATACCACAGCCCAGCAGTCGCAGTCAAAATAATCCTGGCGTGTTAACATTCCTCTAAAAACTTTGGTGGATTTAAAGGATTGTGGTTCTCATCACAGGATTCTTTGACTAGTGTTCTCTTGATGATTTTCTCGGTTTTAAGTCCCGACTTTTTCAACACTTGCTTTTTAATTGCTGTTGATGTGCTGTTTGAACCAGTTGCAACTGACTTCAAGTTCATTTCTCAACTTTCTCACTCCAGGAACTGAAGGAATGGCACGGGCCACATCTGGAGGCTTTGGTGAGGTCTGGCGTGGAGCTCATCGCTGTAGAGACCATCCCATGCCAAATTGAGGCTGAAGCTGTCGTGGAGCTACTCAAAGACTTCCCAGATACCAAAGCCTGGCTCAGTTACTCTGTAAAGGTCAGTCCTTGTGTCACCTGGACATCTTCATGTAGCTTGCTCTGCCAGCCAAACCCTGGTAATTGCAGCTCCTTTAATCAAAAGCTGAAGTTTGATACTTTCTTTGGTGTCATGTTTTGAGCGCTGTTCTTCCTGTGCCATCTGACAACGTTTGAGGAGGAAAAAATACACCAAAGTCTATAATTATATTCCATCGGCATTTAACAACCATGGGGCCTACATGCTGTGCCACCAACATGTATGGATATTCCTCACTGGGACCCAGGTTGTCAATTTTGAAATAGGTATATGACAGCATTGTGTTTTAATTGACAGTTAAAATTTAATAGTACCTCTTAAACCCAGCACTAATGATAATTAATTTTTTACAAATTGCATCACATTACCAAATTCCATCTGCTGTACATTTTAAAACATCACTGCACGGTCTTTGTTGACATGCAGTCGTATGCAAATTCTTTGTGAGGACTAACACAAACATGGAGGCAGACAGCAAACATGGGTCAACTATCTGCCAACTATCTGCATCAGAGTAGGCCCATACAAACAGACATGCTGCCACGTCTCACTATGGTCTGCCTTTTGATACCTTGAATGCCTTTGGAAATCATTACAACTGTTTGGAAATTAGGCTTTACATATTTTGAACGAAAGAAATAATTGCCCACTTTCAAAAGCCGCAGTACAAGGTGATGTGTACTGTTATTTTTTACATGTGCAATTTTGACATTGAAGCGCCCCTTCAAAGTGGTAAGATGAAACATGGTTGATAAACATGGTGCATGTTTTCCATGCTGCCTATATGCTGCTTACTGGATAGCTTACACTGTAATATGCTCACACTTTTTCCATTCGAAGGACAACCAGCATATATGGCACGGTGAGACATTTGTTGATGGTGTCAGGGCAGTGGTTGATTCGGAGCAGATAGTCGCCGTAGGCTGCAACTGTTGCAACCCAAGCAACGTGGCCTCACTCCTTGAGAGAGCCGAGAGTGTTGTTGGGGACAAGCCATTTGTTGTCTACCCGGACAAAAGGAAGGAGTTCTTTGATGGCAGGTATTTGGCAGAGGGAGTTATGTGTAGGGCTTGGCCAGAAATCTTGCAGGGTGAATCCCTGCCAAATCAAAAAATATTAATGTACTACCTCCCATGTGACCCCACCCAGATTCACCCTACCAAATTCCTTAAACCCCTTCACGGTGGCGGCAGAAGACTGCAAACACCGCAGCATTGTGTGAGGATTAGTGCATACCACACATACAGTCTATTCACCATGCAGCTGCTGGTTCAGTGGGGCCTGCTGCTGGACAGAGCTTTGCATATTGGGCATACCACAGCCCAGCAGTCGCGGTCAAAAGAATCCCACCGTGAAGGGGTTAAAGTTAACTATCTAAAACAAATGAAAAATAACTTCTTAGATTAATGCCTTAAATTTTTTCTTGTAATAGCCTTTGAAAGTTTGGATTATTATTATCATTAAATGAATTTATTACGCACAAATTCTATTCAAAAATATTCAAAGGCACTGTACAACCAATAACAGAAAAATAAACTTGTGTAATATAAAAATTTCATCAGAATTGAAAAGACACAGAATCACTAAAACATTAATTTACTATTACACACAGATATTAAAACAAAATAAATTAAGTACACAGATACAGCAGGACATTAAAGCCGTCACAGAAGGGTGCAAACCAATAAAAGTTGTTAAAATACTGATAAAAACACATCACAGCTCAAAAGCGATCCTAAATGAGTTTTTAGCAGTGCCTTAAATGGTCTAAACTTGTGGCATGTCGTATCTGAACTGGGAGTTGATTCCACAGATATGGGGCCGCATGTAAAAAGGACTGATCACCTAGACAGGTCCTACTATGAATGGATGGATATCAAAGAAGAATACCATTACTCTAGTCAGAACTAAGAAGACGGTAACAAGACTCAGTGCAAACAGTGATGAGCTGTGACAAGTATTCAGGACAGTCACCATGGAGTGTTTGAAGACCAGAAGTAAGATCTTGAAAACAATTCTA